GCCAGGTGAGATCTAGGGGTCATGGCCTAGCAAAAGTGAAAGCACCCTGCCCTACCCTGGGCTTTGGCACTTGGCAGTGATAGAACAGCTTCATGAATTCTTCTTATCTTTTTTCATGCTGTAGCCATGGGTGGGTTTGGCATTGATTATCTCTCGGCAACATCGTCCTCTGAGAGCAATTGGCATCAGGCCAGCACCCCGAGTGGCACCTGGACAGGCCATGGCCCCTCCATGGAAGATTCCTCTGCTGTCCTCATGGAAAGCCTAAAGGTGAGTGGATTTCAGGAACAAGAACCACAAGACTCTTCAGCAGAGATGTCTCTGCTTTCATTCACATAAATAGCTGGGCTTATTTCTAAGACCTTTAGAATTAATTGATGCATCACACATATGTAGCTAAGTCTTAGAAATATGGTCTACTGTACAAGATTTAATCTGTGAATTTATTAGTGATAAAGCAGCATCTTCATAAAGGTAAAGGTTTTAGTTTCATTATAAGATTTCATTCTGATTCTTCTTGGAATGTCTGACTTAAGCCTTGTCTGACCAAGTGAAAGAAGAGTATCTAGATTTAGATATGTTTTGTTTGCCTGAAACCTTTACAGTGAATACCCTGTGGTACCTACCACATAGAGTTGAGTTTCAGTAAAAAGACTTTAAATAAAACATAATTTCATCTTTCTGGGTTTAAAATAATCTTAATGAAAACTAACTATTCTTGAGAGTCTTAAAAGACTTTTTCTAATAGCAGGATTTTTTAGAGGGTGGGTTGGGTTGGGTTCTTGGGACATATATGCCATTCTCTTTGGTTAGGATTAAAAAGCAATCCCTGTCAGACAAGTAGGCACTGGCCTCTGCTGACAAGATCTGGGCTGTTTTTCAGTCTATCTGGTCCAGCTCCATGATGCATCCTGGACCTTCCGCTCTGGAGCAGCTGTTAATGCAGCAGAAGCAGAAGCAGCAGCGGGGACAAGGCACCATGAACCCTCCACACTGAGGCCACAGTGGCAACCCTGGGAATGAAGGCTCCATAAACCATGGCATGTTGGGTTTGCAGGACTGGCCCACACAGTCCCCTGCAGGTGGCAGCCCTCTTTTCTGTTTCTTGCTGTCAAGAGGGTGTAAGTGTTCCACCAGCCCGCTGAGTGTGCACGAAATGTTCGCAGTGCAACAAAAAGAAAAATCCATCAGGAACTCTCCGTCCCCCCCGGGGCCCTCCGGAGGGAGAGAGAGAGGAACCGCTGTTTATCTCACTCAGTTACTTGATATCACCGCCTCTCACCTTCTCCATCGTGCATGTCCCCAGCCACGTGGGAAGTGAAAGCTGAGGAGGGAAGCCAGAGGGAAGAAGCCAATGGGAACTTCTCAGTCCTTTTTTCCTCTTTGGGGAATAAAATAGGAATCCATTAATGGTTGCTTTGCTGACTGAGAATGTAGTTGAAATTATTCCTAAACATCTTTTATTATTGTTATTACTCTCAGTAGTAAAATATCACACTGAATTCTTCCATACACAGGTGTGCTTCTAGTCAGTGTGTAGCAAGGAAAGCCCTGCTCACTGCTCCTGTGAGAGGTTGGTGGTGACAGGATGGGGAGCTGACCTCTTCAGCCAGTGGAAGTGTTCCAGAGGGAGAGTTCGAGGCCTTTCAGAAGGTTCTGGTAGGCCCTCCTCTGGCCTGGAGACCCCAGGAAATGCCCTTCACTCCGTAGGTGCTCGAGCCCCAGTCAAGGATGCAGTGTGGGCAGTGGTGCTGGGCTGGACTGCAAGTGACTGCTGTAGAATTTCAGATGATGTTTTTGATTCTTGTACATTTTGCGGTAGCATAGCAAGCAGTCTCCCAGAAGGCAGGCTGGTCCCTTCACGGCCTGACACGTTTTAATTGATAGAAGCTTTCAGTGTGGTTCTTTTTTGTTTGGTTGGTTTTTGTGTCCCCATTCTGCTTACCACCCGCCACCCTCCTGCCCATCTCCATCCCTTGTTTACCTCATGCTGTGTGCTAGTAATTATTTCTATTCCTAATGTGTGCAACATCAAGCCAAGAAGCAACAGCGTGGGGTCCAACAGTTGGGGCCCAAAAGACAGTCTGAAGAGGAAGGGAGCAGTGGTGTCTGTGTAGCCCAGGAGGGCCATACCCTGCCCAGCTGCAGTCTCCCAGCTTCCACTTACAGAGTGAAATTCAAGGCAGCATGGACACGTGCGCATCGTGCACAGAGGAAGACACAATGAAGTCCATTTGGAACAGACGAAAGAAAGGAAAATAAACTCATTGCTTGGTATTTATTAGGAGGAAAGAGGACTGAAAATGTTATTGTGTAGAGACAGAAGGACAGCATTTCTGTTAGCCATTTCCTGGAAAAGTAATATTTTAAGGGGAAATTATGGAAACAATCTCAATGTCCAGTTGCTGTGCTAGTGGCAGGGTTATTTTCTGGGAGGTCTTTTGTGTGTGTGTGTGTGTGTGTGTGTGTGCGCGCCCGCCCATCTACCGTCCCTGAGGGGAGGGTGTTGTGTGTGCGTGTCTGGAGTTGGTGTGGACCTCGCTAGCTGGGACACAGCTGCAGAGCACATCAGGAGTCCAGCTGTCAAATCTAGGAACCCCGCGGTAGAGAGGGGTGAGAGCATGCTCGGTGCTCTCCAGAGGGGGTGGTTGGAGCCCCATATGCCTACATTACTGCTTTTATAGTTCGACATGGCGTTGGGGTTTTTGTTTCCGTTTTTTTTTTTTTTTTTTTGGAAAGGTCTAAAAGGGTGCAACCCCCCACCCAATGGCAATATGAAACCCTCTGTGCTTCTCCAGCCTGTCTCTGTGTCCCCTTCCTTCTCTTCCTTCCCTCCCAAGCCTTCTGCCCTCCTCCACTACCCAGTTTGTGTGTGTGAGCTCTGCATTCAGGCAGCTGCAACATTCCAGTGTTTGAAATGTCACTGATTCTTGCACCCTAGACGAGCTAACCAGGTTTACCATCTCACTCCCAGTAGTGCCCAGTTCCCATCCAAAGCCCTCTGCATGAGAATTTGGTGTTTGGAATGTTTTCTGACTCTTGGGGCGGGGTTCCTCGCCTTACCATCCTCACTGTGGAGTAATGAGGAGGGGGAGGAGAATCTTCATCAAAAACTGGTTTTGTGTAGTAAACTTTCTTTTGTGGTTTTTTGTTTTGTTTTTTGGGGTTTTTGTTTTGTTTTTTTGTCTGTCTGTGCAAGACCTGCAGCTGCTGAAATCAGCTTTGCCTTTAATTAAACCATGTTCTCTCCAACCAGATCTGTGTACAGATTGTTTCTTTTATATCCTAAAAGTTACAGTATTGAAGAAAATCCAATTTACAGAAACTTCAACTACTCACAAGTCCAGGGGAAAGTAATGATGATCCAAATATGAATGTGTCAGGGTTATTTTTACTTTTAATAGTATTCCAGACCAATGAATTATTATGGAAAGGGATTAGTAGAAAAAAACTTATAATCACTTTTTTTTATATAGTAAAGAAGAAATGGCTTATGTAAAGGAGTTAACAACCCACCATTTTTATCCCCATTGTAGCTGTTAATGAGGCAGCTCAAAGATAGTTTATCTCTTTGGCCTTTAAAATTTACTAAATCTGATTAGCAGCTACAGTAACCACTGTACTCACTTGGGGTTGCTTTCTTTGAGTTGTGTCTAGAGTTTCCCATGGTAGCTTGCAGGGCCTTTGATGGTATGTATGCTAGAAGCCAGTCTGTAGGTTCTTTCACCTGGGTGTTGGTCTAGTCTACAGTTCATTTCCTAATTGTTTTTTTACAAGCTGCTACACACTTGAGAAATCATTGCAAAACTATACATACTCTACACAAAGGAGAGAGGGAGGGGAATTAATACGAGATCCTTGAAATATTGGACCATTGGATTAAAGGATAACCAAATAAAACCATAGTCATCTATTACATATATTATTATAGTACAGTCATGCACTGCATGACGGTATTTTGGTCGACAGCAGACTGCATATAATAGCTGTGCTCCCATGAGATTATACCATATTTAATATACCTTTTCTATGCTTAGATATGTGTAAATACACAAATCCTTACTATTGTATTACAACCACCTACAGTAAAGTAGTGTAGTGTAGGAGCAACAGGCTGTACCACCTGCCTAGGTGTGTAGTTAGCTGTGCCATCTAGGTTTACATAAGTATAATCTGATTGTACAAAGACACATTTCTGGGAACATATTCTCATCATTAGGTGATGTATGGCTGTATTATAAAGTAGTAATTAATAGGATACTACTGAGCAGATAGCTTTCTGAACACAGCTTCTTTTCATCACTTAAGTGTTAATGGTATATATTCAGAAATGAACTCTTAACAAATATTCTCCCTCCAGAAAGGCATAAAGGGGTGTAATTCTAGTATTTTAATTCTCTATGGGATTGATTGTTGTATTCCATGAGAACCTAACTCAGTCCAGATTATGTTTCAGCAATGAGATTTTTAACGAAAAAAGAAAACTAATTTTACTTGTGTATGCCTTCAGAATTACCTGTGAGGTTACTTCAGGCCTTAAGAGTCTATGATAGTGATGGTACAGGAACCGGAACATTTCCAGTTAGTCCTTGGGCCAGGACTCTGGGAATCTTGTCTGGTTGGTTTTTGTGAGATAAGTTTTTTATTGAGGTACACAGAGAAGTGCAAAAAATCATCAGTTTACAACTCGTGAAGTTTTACAGTGTGAACACACCTGGGTGGCCAGCACTCAGAGCAAGAAGTAGATTATCAGCACCTAGAAGATCCCTCATGCCCCTTTGAGAACCTTCCATTCACTTTTCCTCCCCTCAACTCACCCACCTCCCCCGCCCTTTGTCCAGGAAATCCTCATCCTGAGTCCTCATGTCATGGTCTAGCAGGTTAAACTTTAACACTTCCAAATGGTCACATCCAAGTACAGCGTACAGCAGAGCCATGCTGAATCTCACAGACACGTAGCAGTGCTTCCTTTTCTTCAAGTTTGAGGATGGCAAAACATCCTAGACTCCTCCAGGAGTGCTTTCTACGAAAAATCTGTGGTTGCCCGTTCTTCAACAAAAGCTTTGGGGAAAATGCCAACCTTGCCTTTGCACTCCCCTTCCAGCCATTCTTCATTCACTGAGGAAAGGAAAAGGACACACCAATTTTCAAACAGTGTAGGAAAATGACCCTGTCTGGGTATTCCACACAGGCTTTCATCAGTCGTCCTCCCCCACCCCCAACTGTGATCACAGGGAAGAGACTACTGGAAGGTAGTTTGAGGGGAAAGAGGGAACATAGGGCTTAATTATTTTGATTTCTGTCCTAGACATAAGGAGTAAAATGCAGAAGAATGACATTTTTTAAAAAAATTACCAGATTGAGAAATAAGGTGAAAGGAATTAACAGTGAAGTCTTAGATGGGGTTTTTTTAAGAAAGAATTTTATCTGAGCTTTATTGGAAATCTTTGACTACAAAAAGTGGGCCTGCCTTTGATTAAATATATTAAGGAAAATTAACTAGTCAGTGATTCATCAGGGCTGAGAGTTGGAGCTAGTGATGGGTTTAATACTTGCTTTTAAAATACAAGGATTTCCATACCCATTTTGAGCCTTTAGTAAAGTGCACACATTGTGCTTAGAATATATATACACCAGACTTCATAACTCAGTTTTAGATAGCCATATTTTACTAAGGAAAAAGATACCAAAGAAATCAGTAGTTTGTTTAGAGGCATTTTATCAGTAAATATTGGGCCACTTAGGTATAATCTCCAAAGCCTGGCTACCAGACCACACAAGCTGTTCAGAAGTTCGTCTTTAGCTGTGAGACATAGATCAGACATGAGAGCACTGGGGCCTAGATCCTGCCCCCAGAGATCCTGCTTTCATTAGAGTACGGTGTGGCTGGGCAATTTAGGTCATTCTGCTTGCAACTCGTTCTCTTGACTCTTCTTACTTACAGGGAAATGAACTGGATGCATGTTAGAAATGCGAAATCCCAGACCCCACCACAAACCTGAGTCCGAATCCATTTTAAGAAGGTCCCCCACCCCTACTGGGTGCGGTGGTATGCCTGTTAGACGTGCGGGCGGGGGTCATGACAATCTCAGAGCCAGCATGGGAACGGAGTGCCAGAGGCGACTCTCTGGGAGCCAGGGCCCTGGGGAGATTCTGTGCCAGCCGCAAGGCCCCACGGAAGGTCCTGAGGAAAATTCTGCATGACTGCTCCTTAAGTCATGGCCACCACTATGTTCCCATGGTATTGTTTTGCTCAGGCTTCACAGGAGTAGTTCGTTTCATTATGTTTTGGGAAAAGGAGGCTGCCCACATATCCATGATAAATAATAGTTTCAATAGGAGTTCCTACATAACTTACAAAAACCAACAGGTCTCAACTAGATCCAAGAAAAACTATGAACAGGAACAGCATGACACAGAGTCTAGAAGAACAAACACAATCATCTGTAACACTAACTAGTCCTACGCTGTGTCTCGTTAACTGTTCCCAGAATAGTTTAAACAAAGAAACTCTGATAAAACTGTGGTACCAAGGAACAGTGAGAACGATGAACACACTGAAACCATAAGTCAATCAAAGATAGGCTTAGGTACTCAGCCACCTCCTCCTAATATCATTAGGCCTAAACCATTACCCACTGTAAGAGAAGGAGACTCCATAGGTTATATGCCTAGCACCTTTATATCTATATAGGCTATTTACCTTTATAGAGTATAAGTTTTACCTTCCACTTGCTAACCTTTTGGCTAATATTAACCTTGCCCTTTTAATAAGTTACTGTTTCCAAGAACAGCTAGCTCTTTTTCTAAGGAATATTAAAAATGTAGACATTACTGAAGCACATAATTATACGTAAGAATCTTAACCACAGTCACGTCATGAACTTCTTATTAATTGTTAATCATTTTTTACTGTTAATTTACTGATATTCGCTTGCCAAAAGTTATGATATAAATAAATCAGCACTGCTGTGCTTCAGCGCCAGAGTGCGAAGAACTCTGGTCCGACTCGTTTCTGGCCTTATCCACACGTCCTTCCTGGGTTCCTGAATCCTGCGGAGCTGGACTCCGACAACGTGTGAGGCTGAGATGGGAGAATTCCTTGAACCCAAGAGTTCAAGACCAGCCTGGGCAACATAGCAAGCCCTTGTCTCTACAAAATTTTTTTTTTTAAACCAGGCATAGGGGCATGTACCTGTAGTCCCAGCTACTTGAGACACTGAGGCAGAAGAACTGCTTGAGCCCAGGGGTTTGAGGCTGCAGCGAGCTGTGATCATGCCACTCCAGCACTTCATGCTGGGTAAGAGATCCGGCCAAAAAAAAAAGAAAGGTCCTCAGGTGATTCACATGCACATTAAAGTTTGAGAAACAGCCGGGCTCGGTGGCTCAGCCTGTAATCCCGCGCCTTTGGGAGGTTGAGGTGAGTGGATTGCCTGAGCCCGCGAGTTCGAGACCCGCCTGGGCAGCGAGACCTCATCTCTGCAATAATTCAAAAAATCAGCCGGGGATAGCGCATGCCAGTAGTTCCGGCTACTCGGAAGGCTGAGGCAGAAGGATCGCCGGAGCCCAGCAGGTCGAGGCTGCGGTGGCCGGGAGCGGCCACTGCACTCCAGTCTGGGCGACAGAGTGAGACTCCAACTCAAAAAAAAAAAAAAAAAAAGTTTGAGAAACACTTTGTAGATAACTTCTGGGTTCAGCAATTCTTCCCACCTCAGCCTCCAGAGTAGCTGGGACTACAGGCACGCACCACCCCATGCCTGGCAAATTTTTGACTGTTTGTAGAGACAAGATTTCACCGTGTTGCCCAGGCTGGTGTCTGGTAACAATTGAATGCAACTGATTTCACCTCTGACCTGCCCAGGAGTGTGCTGAATTTGGTTTTCTGAAGTGATACGATATATCCTGAGTTAAATTGACTTAGATTGTACATGTTATATAGTGAAGAGTAGGCTGCCTTCTCTTCACATCGTCCCAAAAGGTGTATCTATATGTTCTCTCATTTTATTGCGGCCCCTCTCCCTCCTCCAGACAGTTGAGCTGGTTGGTGGATAAGGACACCTGGAAAGTAGTACTGGGGAGTTATTCAATCCAGTTCTTCCCACTGAATTTCTATTCTCTCTTGTCAGAACACTCTGCTTCTGTATGTTACTACTCATATTTTGAGTTTATTACCACATACTTGTATATCTCTCTATCCCCATTAACTTTAAAATCTCCCACTCATTTCTTCATCTGTTGGATTTTCTGTTATAATTGATCATGGTTTTTCACTATTTTATTTACTAGTGCACACACAGACTTTCAGCCATGTGAACAAGGCTTTTGGGATGGAGTCTTGGTTCTAGGTAGAGACACAGACTTTCAAACCATGAGTTGGGAACAGAGCTTTTCAGAGTGTAGGTGGCAAACCACCATTACCTGGAAACTTGTTAGAAATGCAAATTTGTAGGCTATATCCCAGACATAAATCAGAGTCTCTGGGAGCTGGGCCCAGGAATTTGATTTAAATTCCCTATACTTAGGCATACTGAAGTTTGAGAAGCATTAAGTTAGAAGCTTTCACTTTTTGTTTGTTTAGTTGGAGCCTCAGTCTGCCGCCCAGGCTGGAATGCAATAGCACACTCATGGCCACCGCAGCCTCGGCCTTCTGGGCTCAAGTGATCCTTCCATACCTCAGCCCTCCAAGTAGTTGGATCTACAGGCATGCACCACCACGCCCGGCTAATTTTTTTATTTGTTGTAGAGACGAGGTCTTGCCAAGTTGCCCGGGCTGGTCTCGAACTCTTGGGCTCAGGCAGTCCTCTAGCCTCTTCCTCCGAAAGTGCTGGGATTACAGGTGTGAGTCACTGTGCCTGGCTTTTTTCTTTTTTCTACTTTTAAGATACAAGATCTCTTGCTTAGGCTGGTCTCAAACTCCTGACCTCAAGCCATCCTGCCTCAGTCTCCCTAGTAGCTGGGATTACAGGCATGCTGTTTCCATTTGTAATGTGTTGATTCCTAGCAGAATTAGGAAAGTCTCCAGAGACTTGCTGAATAGCTGTTCTGAATAGCTGTTTTGAATAGCTGTTTTTATAAAGACAGAATCTTACCTACTTCCTTCTTTGAAAAGTACATCTTGCCTGAGCCTGTGGGTCTGAGACTAACCTGGGCAACATGGTGAGACCTTGTCTCTACAATGAAATCAAAAAATTAGCCGGACATGGTAGCACACCCCTGTAGTTCTGGCTACTTGAAAAGCTGAAGCAGAAAGATCGCCAGAGCCCAGCAGGTGAACTTTGGGGTAGCCATGAGTGTGCCACTGAACTCCAGCCTTGGTGACGGAGTGAGACTTCAACTAAAAAATAAAATAAAAAGACACCTGAAAAAAAAAGAAAAAAGAAAAGTACATCAATTCAAATAACTATAGTTTGCAGAAGGCCAGCCTTTTATAGCTTGGTACACAGGCAAGATGATTCCAGCCAATTTGTTAACTCTGGAAATGAGAATCTGCTTTCCAAACATATCCGTCTTTCATAATCTAGACATTATCTCAGTTGGCTACTTGCTCCTTTCTTGCCCTTTAGAGCAGTAGACAGGGAAAGGCCGAGCATCCAGTTCTCCCTCCAGCTAAAGGCTAGGGAGGAGATGGAAAATACGGACTAAAGTTCATTCGGTAGGTTACTGTTGTCCTCTCTCTGCCCTTGATCTTGTTTCTGCAACATGTAAGTTTGCTTCTGTAATCTTGGAGTAGCACTTACCCTTGGAGAGCACCAGGATTATATCCCCTTCCAGAAAGTCTAGGTCCTCGGGTTGGGTGGCCTCGTAACTGAAGAGCGCTACCACTTGGCCCCCTTCCTGAACCTGAGGTTCCATTGTCTGGTTATTGGTATCTGATTTTTCACTTTCCTTGGGTTCATCTGCAAAGCCTTGGTCACCCTGAAATAATAAAGGGACTGTTAGTTTTCCTAATTTCCTAACCAGTGAGCACTGAACAGTACTAAAGGAAATGGTGAAATGTCAAAGTAGAACCCAGGGTAAAAACAAAAAGGCAAGTTTGTGGCCAGTGCCTAGCCTAGACCTATATGTTCTTTATAACTACTTGGTGGTCAGGTAAATGAAACCAAAAGATCTGCAGAACCATAGATAGCCTTAAAATATCACACTGGAAGCTTATAATCCTGAGAACGGTAGAATGGGCATTATTACTCTTTATTTTCGAATGGGGAAACAGGTTGAGTCAGTGACAGAGCCCAATGTCAAACCTGGGTTTCTTAGTACCTAGTCTAACACGCTTTCCCCAGCAGCAACAACAACCTGACCAGAAATGCAGATTTTCAGCTCCATCCCAAATCTATAACATCAGAAACTCCCTGACGTGGAGCTCTGCAGTCTGTATTTCAGGTACTCCCAGTAATTCTGATATTTGCAAAGTCAGAACCACTGCACCATGCCATGCTTTTATCTGTAATAACACTTCTCACACATCTTAGACTAGTCTTAGACTTCTTATACATCATGGTCATTTTTGCTCCACAAATGAAGGAGAGGGAAGTGGTTTCTAGAGACGTGAATCAGAATTTAAATCAACATTGGAACTGCTGCTAGGCTAAAATGTACTGTGAAAAGTTCTAGTTTCTTGGCTGGGCGTGATGGCTCACACCTGTAATCCCAGCACTGGGAGGCTGAGGCAGGATTATTGCTTGAGGCCAAGAGTTTGGGACCAGCCTAGGTAACAGCCACAAAAAAATTAGAGTAGTGTGTGCCTGTAGTACCAGCCACTCAGGAGGCTGAGGAGGGAGGAGTGCTTGAGCCCAAGAGGCCGAGGCTATGGTAAACTGTGATCATGCCACTGCACTCCAGGGACAGAGTAGGACTCTGTCTCAAAAAAGAAAAAAAGTGCTAGTTTCATAATGCTGTTTGTCAGACCTGGGTATCTCCTCTCTATTGAAAGGCAGTACAGTGACCATTGTTTTGTTAAGCACTGGGCAGACCATGTTTCCTAGCAACGGCCCCTTCCCCTACCTTGGGGAGGTGAATCTCCTCTCTCTTTCCAATTTACTTTCTAAGTAAACTATATTTTCCGATCAGAAAAGAAAGGCAGTACAGTGAAGCAGAAGTTACCCTAAGAAGTCCCCAGACCTGGCTTTGCGTCCCTGTTCCACTGCCTCCCAGCTGTGTATCCCTAAGCACACAGTGTAACCTCTCAGAACCTGTTTGCTCACATGAAGAATTAGATGACATAGAAGAATAATAGTTGGCACTTAATGAGACACTCTGTGACAGTACTATTCTCAATACGTATAAATGCTTAAGCTTGGTTAGTGATATGTGTTCCTGAATAAGGGAGAGGCTTAATAAATGTGAGTTCGTTTTCCTTCTCCTAGTTCGGGAAGGAGACCTATCTGCCTTGCTGCCTCCAAGGGTAATGGGTACTGATAAATAACATTCAACCATGATCCCCAAGCCTGGATTGAGTTCCAGAGACTGTTGGGAGTGTGGGAAGATTAGCCATGTGTAGCCACTAAGTAGACTGAAGCTCTACTTAGATTGAAGGAAAAAACAATTTGTTTAAGCTTTTAGGTGCAGTTGTTCCCATTTAGGGCAGAACTTCTAGACAGCCTCTCAAGAAGATGCTGGAGAAGTGGGCCCAAAGACAGGAAGCCTGGAGTGGCTTACACTCACACTTGCTCTCAGCCCAGGGTCCTGGGTCCTCTTCTCAGCCAGAGAGCAGGGAGCCTCAACCCCAGATCCTCTGCTTCCTGAAGACACCTCTGGAACTCGAGGCTGCCACAGTGGGTTTTCCAGCGTCCTCCCCCAGGCTCACCTTTCATTCTTCCTCTCTCCCCCCCTTTTATTTTCCAGCATTTGAGTGAGAATGTACCAGAGAAACCCTTCCCCTCACTAGACATAGACAGAAGGCCCTTCCCAGGCATGAGGATAAGGTTTGCAGGAGTGTTCCGCCTCTGGCCCTGAGCTCCTGGCGTGGATGGGCTGCAGGAGCTTTCCCGCGTGTTTATTTCCATCCTCTCAAAATCCACTTGTAGATGAAAAACAGCAGCTCTCCAGAGGATTTATGTGTGATCTGTTCCATAGGATACCCCTACGCTGAAATAACTAAGTGCCACAGCCTAAGAATGCCAAGGCAGAAAACAGGTGAACTGAAACTGTCATAGGGACCCAACGAACAGCTTTGGTCCTGGAGACTGGGGTTTCTAACACGATCCAGGGTTCTCCCCGACCTCAGGACTGTGGGTGGGAACTGATGGCTCAGAGGAAGCGCCCTGGCCCCTCACTGTGTCCCTGCCTTGCCTGGATCCCCATGACCATTAATCCAAAGGAAGTCCCAACTCTTCCTCTCCTGCTCACAGCATCCCAGTACAGCGGTGTCCAAGGCCTTCTGCACTGCTTGTCCCCTGGTCCCACCACCTGTCCAGCTTTGTTTCCCACCTCCTTCCCCATTGTACACAGTGACCCTGAGCCCCATTGCCCTCTGTGCTGATGCTTGTGGCGTTCCCTCTGCTCACGCCATCTGCATAATACATCTTTCCACTTCTGCCTTTGTTGTTTTAAGGCTAAACTTCAAGATGGTTTCAGCATCATTTTCTTGAGGGAGACCACTCCTTATCCCAGCATTTCTGGGTTCTTGTCCTCCCCTTGTGCTGCCATGACAGGATACCATTTGTGAGTCTGCGTCAGTTTACTAAACACGATGGCTTGTCATTATCTGCTTATGTCTTTCCCCTACGAAGGGCCTGTGTCTTCCTAATTTTTGTATCCGGCAGTAGGCAGTAAGAATTAGTACACAGAATGTACTTAGCACAGGATCTGGCCCGTGGAAAAGTTTCCAGTGGGTCTTGCTCCTAAGAGGAGGTTGTTACCCACCTCATGTCTTTGTGAAATCATTGCTCACTGTTTTCTTTCACCCTCAAGTGTTCTTCCTATGAAAACTTAAGCTGGCTGGGCTCGGTGGCTCAGCCTGTAATCCCGCGCCTTTGGGGGCTGAGGTGAGTGGATTGCCTGAGCCCGCGGGTTCGAGACCCGCCTGGGCAGCGAGACCTCATCTCTACAATAAATCAAAAAATCAGCCGGGTGTGGTAGCGCATGCCTGTAATTCCGGCTACTCGGAAGGCTGAGGTGGAAGGATCGCCAGAACCCAGCAGGTCGAGGCTGCGGTGGCCGGGAGCGGCCACTGCACTCCAGTCTGGGCAACAGAGTGAGACTCCAATTCAAAAAAAAAAAAAAGAAAACTTAAGCTGAAGAACAGCTGGAGCTCAGCCTCCAGCTTTATTTCCCCTTGCTTGACAGTGATAACCACGAAAGCTGACACAATCAGGCAGTGAGCCCATGGAGGGGGCGTGAGGCTTTCTGGGGACTCCTGAGCCTGCTCTGCAGCTGGGGTGAGGATGCAAATAAAAGAAAGACTGAGCTGCAACTTGTTACCCACGTATCCTCAGCACCACACACAGTGCTAAGCGCCTAGAAGGTGCTCCATAAATGCCGAGGAAGTGGCCCAGTGGAAATGTGACCTCAGGGGCCTCTGAGCTTGCTGCACTCACCACTGTGTTCTCACACCACAGAGTCAGGCAGTAGTTTCTGACCTGGCCCCAGGCAACCTTCATGCTGTCTTCCGAAAGGGGCACCAGCTCATTGCTGTCTCGAGGCCGATAGCTGCAGAGGGATAGTGAGGAAGAACCAAGTTAGGGATCATCATCGCAAAACCCTCCTCCTCCATCCTCCCCACCCACACAGGATCCCGGGCTGGAGCTCACCTGAGCTTAATGTGTTCCGGCAAGAGCTCCAGCTTCTTGGACACCATGTCCCGGACCTGGAGGTAGGGCAGGTCGGGCTGCGTCTCCATGACCACAGTGTACTTGTAGTGCACCTTGAGCGTGAAGGGCATGGGGACGCTGAGCTTCACTTCCTGAGGGGCAGAAGCAAAGAGAACTCTGAGTGTCTGAGACCATATCTCCACCACACGTGGGATCCCCGTAGCTGTCTGTGGCTGCACAGGGAGCACCCCTGCACAGGGGAGAGACTGGTGAGTAACAATTTCATGGGACCCTGAGAGGCCGTCAGAGGGCCTCTGGCTGGACTCTTGCTTGGACAGGAATTCCTGCTGAGCAAGAGTGATCCTCCAGCTGTGGCCTCATAGGGGTGTGCGTGGGCTGGGGAGGCTGTCGGGACAGTCGCTAGCCTGTGGACTGTGCACGATGGCAGCTGGCTCCTTGGGACTCTGGCATGGACTCTGGCAGCCCACAGGGGATGGCGCGAGCTCCTCTTTCTTCTACTACTTCAAACCGTACAAGAGAAAACTGTTACCTTGGGTTCTTCTTTTTGTTTCCGACCTAAATGAAAAAAGTAGGGAGTAAAACAAGACAGTGAGTGAACACCTTGGCCAGCCCCTGCCATACACAGAATGAAATGCTCAGGACGGGGCACCCAGCTGCTTTTCGTCCGTGGGTTGATTATCAACCTTAGCAAACTGCAGGTAAAATCTCACTCTGGGGAAGCGTGAGGGCCATGAACACACAGACAAGCCCAGTCTCGGCTTCTAGGGAGCCTGGAGGTGATTATCAAAGCACCAGCCTGTTCTCCCCAACCCCTGGGGTCACCAGGGCCCCTGAAGGTCAGTTAAACCCGTGGGATCCAAAGCAGCAACAATCCCATGCAAGAGGAGCCAGGGGCCACGGGGAAAAACATCAGAGCCATGATTTCCACCCTGCCCTTTATTCCAGTGTGTGTTTTCTGAAGTGCATCATCGATTAATACAGTAGTATACATATACTTTATATGAGAAGTGTGCATAAAGATATTTACTAGCAGGTGCTTGTTCAAAAAAGACCACTGATCTCAAACCTAGCAGATCATTAGAAAAATATGGGAAGTTTTATCTAAAAATACGAATTCCCGAGCCCAATTTCAGTCCTAAAAAATCAGAACCAGGCCAGGTTCACACCTGTAATTCCAGTACTTTGGGAGGCCAAGGCAAGAGGATTGCTTAAGTCTGTGAGTTTGATAACAGCCTGGGCAACATAGCAAGATCCCGTCTGTACAATAAAAATTAGCCGCCATGGTGGTATGTGCCTGTAATCTCAGTTACTAGGGAAGTTGAGACTCGCTTGAGCCCAGGAGTTCGAGGCTTCAGTGAGCTGTGGTTGTACCACAGCCACTGCACTCCTGCCTGATGACAGAGTGAGACCTTATCTCAACAAAAACAAAATTAGAACCAACAGCCTAGGAGTCTGTATTCACAAAATCATCCTAGGTTAACATGTGATCCTTGATGAGCCCCTAGATAAAAAAATAAAAATGAAAAGCTGTCAAGGACATTTGAGGGGAGAGCAATTAGAGAAATTGGCATATGGAATATATATATGATACATTATTATCTTATTACTGTTAAACGTCCTAGATTTGACTATTATAATGTGATCATTCAAGAGACTGTTTATTCTTAGAAGACTGTGCTTATGTGTGGAGTGAGATGTCTTGAATCTGTTACTTTCAAGTGTCTCAAAAAAACAAAAATAGAGAGGGGAGCAAGGCAGGTATAGGATGCAAAATGTTAACAATTGGTGAGTTAGGCTGAGCTCAGTGGCTCATACTTGTAATCCTAGCACTTTGGGAGGCTGAGGTGAGAGGATTGCCTGAGCCTGGGGGTTTGAGACCAGCCTGGGCAACTTGGTGAGACTTTGTCCTACAATAAATCAAAAAATTAGCCGGGCATGATGGTGCTTGCCTGTAGTTCCGGCTACTTGGAAGGCTGAGATGGAAGGATCGCCGGAGCCCAGCAGGTCAAGGCTGTGGTGGCCACGAGCGTGCTGCTGCACTCCAGTCTGGGTGAGAGTAAGACTCTGACTCAAAAAAAAATTTTTTTTTTTTTTTGAGTTGGAGTCTCACTCCGTCGCCCAGGCTGGAGTGCAGTAGCCGCTCCCGACTACAGGGATCGCCTGAGCCCAGAACTACAGGGATCGCCTGAGCCGGAACTACAGGGATCACCTGAGCCCAGGAGGTCGAGGCTGTGATGAGCTGTGATTATTCCATTGCACTCCAGCCTGGGTGACAGAGTGAAATGACAAATCAAATCAATTAATTAATTAACATAAAAATGGAGGAAGGGGCATTCTGAGTGATTCCGATGGCCAGGTGGGCATGGCGATCACTGATCTAGAATCTGGGTGGATCCCTCATTCAGTGCCTCTCTACTAAGAACTTATCCAGACTCTGCTTAAATGGCACTAGTGACAAAAGCCCACTACTTCCACATCAGGTGAGTACCTCACGGAGAGAAAATTCCCTTTCACATCTGCCCATTGGTTCTTTTTTAAACAATTAATCCATTCACTTATTTATTTTATAGAGATGGAATCTACTTTGCTGCCGAGGCTGGTCTCTAACTCTTAGCCTCAAGCAATCCTCCCACCTCAGCCTCCCACAGTGCCCAGATTACAACCATGAGCCACCGTGCCCAGCCTACACATCTGCCCATAGGTTCTTGTCCACCAATCAGGGCTCTGCTGAGCTGTCTCTTTTCCAGATACAGCTCCTAAGACATCAGAAAAGAGCCACTCCCTGCCCCTCTGAGGTGAACATGTACAATTACCACAACCTTTCTTCCGGAGACATGGTTTCAGTAATTAATGATCAAGGGGTTTGGTGACCACTTGAGTTGGGACACTCACTGCCCCTCAGAAACCAGCTGCATTCATCCAGGCCCTGTGAGCATTCTGCAGCAGACCGGAAGAGAGGGCATCAATTTCCTGTTTGGACTGGATGGCTGGTGCAGGAGACACAGGGGTCTGGAGCTGTGTGGTCACTAGCTGAGTGGCATTCAGGGAAAAGAAACCAGAATTTCCTGGAAGGCTGGGAGAGGAACTCAATGGGGAAGCAGGCTGGAATACTCCTGGGCCCAGGTCTAAGGTGTTGGGCCAGGGCCACTGACCTGGTGACAACTGGGATCTTCCAGGGGCATTGGAACTAGGAGGAGCTGGGATGTCAGACTCCGGGGAGGTTTCCTCCTGCAGGTGACAGGAAGAGATGGTCAGAACTTTCAATCAGACAGAGTTCTCAGGCAGGGGTGGGGTGGAGAGAGTCCCTGAAGACCCTCAGGAAAAGGAGCAGGTGCGAATGAATTCCTGAAAATTGGGGTGGTGGTGACATTAGGGGACGAGGAGGCAGATGTTGGTCAAAGGGGAAGGCAGGGTTGGTCTGATGAAAAAAGCCGCAGTAGAAGTAAGAATCCTAACCCCCACCTAAAAGGCCCATGTCACTCTCAGCCATATTGGAAAGACACTGAGGAAGGGGTTGGACTGAGCTCTTGTCTATGCTGTGGAGGGCACTGAGAAAGGACAAATTCCGCCTCTCTTTTGCATGGCGTTTGATATTCTTCAAAGCATCTGGACACAGTGACTGGCCAGGGAGCGCCAAGCTCGTATACAGCTGGCTGCACAGTCTAGAGAGAGGCAGGCTCCACTGCCATAGGGTCATGTACAGGGCCACTGAGACCTAGCAAAGGCAACTCCCTAGGCCTGGCAGAAGGACAGGCCTTTGAAAAGGGAGGGAGGGGATAGTCACAGTTCAGAAGCAGCGGATGGCATGACCCACTCTGGTTCCATGCTCTAAAGCAGATTTCATCTTATGTTTAATGACCTCTTACTAGTCAACACACAGTTCTTCCAGGTGAAGAGGACACACCTGGGATGCCCTCATACCCTGTAGGCTTTGGTTCCCAAGTCACCCTTGGCCAAGTCACAGAGGCGGGTGGGCCCAGATGCCTCCACCTCTGGGTTTTTTCCCTTATCCCCTGGTTCAGCTCTGGGCAGCTGGTGCCAACTCAAAGTGGGCTTGAAACCAGTGAGTCCTTCTTCAGTGCTCATGACAGCACTCCTCTTATTCGGTTCTGCTCCCCCAGGGAGGGATCTGCATAAGGTGCAAGAAATGAGTCAGGCTTTGGCATGACGTTACCTGGGGCTGCTGCTGGGGTTGGATCCTCAGCTCCACCGGCTCAAGGTAGTTGCAGGGAACGAGCCCCTTCTGTAGGGCAACGTCGCAGAATCAGAAATGAAGATGTGCTCATCGGTACCCAGACCCCAGGACAGCCTGGCAGTGGGGTGGGGGAGGGGGGAATGGCACACAGACAAAACATGGCTGGTCTGCAAAATAAGCTGCAGAAAGCTCTGCCACTGACTGCCAGGATCTCATGCCCATTGCCCCGCCCCCCGAGCCTCTGAATACCTGCCCGTTGAACATGACCGTAGCCCAGTTATCACTGCCCTTCTTCAAGACAAACACAATGTTCCCTGGCATGACCTGAAGCTCCTCTGGTGTCTCAGGCACAAACCCAAACAGCACACGGTGAGCCTCTCCTTCCAGGGCCCTGCGTGGTGGAGGAGGTAGGTGAACAACATAAGACCCAGCGAAGACCCAGCTGACCGTTTAGCTCGGACCATATCCCTTCCTGCAGTGCCATGGAACCAGCACAGCAAACTTGGACTCAGCCAGGGACTTGGCTCCAGCCTCTCACTCCCCATCTCACTGCCTGTGTGACCCTGAGCAGGGAGCTCACCTGCCTGGTCCCTGGGGGGGGGGGTCTCGGGAAGAAACTGCATGTGAACGTGTCCAGTATATGCAGTGGGATGAGAATAGAAGAAAAAGCCAACAGGACACTAGAAAGGAGGTCTTAGGGCCCTGGCCCTCCTTTCCCTTCAGAGGAGAAAGGTTCCTGACAGGGTCATCTTGGTCAGCTACAAGTCTGGGTGGATCAGGTGACGGTGTCCAGGGCAACGGCACAAGGTGGAAGTCAGGTGAGAGCCAGGCAGGTAAGAAAGACCAGGAGGGGTGGAGGGAGGAGAAGCCACCTGGAGCCAGCACTGGGCCAGGGTAGGGGAGTTACCGGGTCCGGGAGGGAGCTGAGGAAAACAGAAGCCTGACATTCTAGAGACTCCCACAGGATTTAGGCCCTGACCCCAGCCTCATCTTCTTCACCCCTTCTGCCGCCATCGATTCAGACCTGGAGCTTGGATATTATGCATATGGCTCCACATCTAACTTACCTGAAAATCTCTGGGGTTTTGGGTCTGGGTGGAGGCTCAGCTGCCTAGTGAACATTCAGGAAAACGGAGAAGGAAAGGACAAGAAGGGAAGGACGGGGAGAGAGAACAGACTGTTAAAAATGGTGATTTGCGCATTCTTCCAGACCAGGAAATCAAAGACTGCATTTCTGAGTGACAGGGACACCGTCTAGGGGGAGGGCACAGGCACCCTGCCTAAACACTGGAAAATAACACCTCCCACCAATTCCCCGGACACTGGTTTCGCCAGCACAGCAATTCATTGTGAGCCAGACCTCGTTTCTGAGAAGGTTAGCTGTCAACAAGCCCAACGAGAGGGCTTTTGACCTTGAGCTCTGTCCCTTTCCCAGGACGATTTCCAAAAGCTCTGTTCTATAATTAATGTCCACTTTGTCACATGACACTTCTGAGTATTTAAAATCCACTCAGGATCCCCTGAGCAGGCAAGACTCTCCTTTCAACGCACATTTCCTGTTCTACACTGAACATCACGGAGTCCAGTTATCCGGGCCTCTTTCCCCTGCTGTTGTCCTCTGGCTGAACTGAAGCCCAAGGGACCTCAGCAAGGCTTTCTCCAACCTCATTGTGAAGAAACAGATAAAGGACTCCAGACCTGGAGAAGGGGTATCCCTCCTCAGAAAACCCTCCTGCTGGCATGGCCCAAAACTCTTGTCCATCATGGCTCCACTGCAACAGAACTCGTGTCTTTCTCAACCTGTTTTACCCTCTTCCCCTCACAAGGAAGCTCTCTCTGAATTCCTAAACCATTGGAACTCTGAATTCCAGCTCATTGGAGACCATCTCTCCAATCCCGGCTTGGGCTGAAGAATGATTCACTTTGGGCGCCATGTCTATGACCCTGAGGGGAAACCCCTGCACATGGGCAGGTGGATGGAACCGGCAAAGCCAAGCCTGCAGGCCCCAGGCCCCACAG